GAATCTTCCAAAGAAAGGAAGGAAGTAATCAATTTGAAAATAAGTAACTCTATACATGGATGTGTAGATCATGCAAAGAAGCAATTTTCAGACACAAACTGGAAGAAAGCCCTCCTGAAACAGCTACTTTCATGTAAACATTGAATTACACGAAAGAAAAAAAATTCTTTCGAAACAAATACTTTTACATGAACACTGAATTATATAGAAGATACTTTTCTCTATTCAGTTTGTATTCCAAACATTCGTTATGGAATGAAATTCAGATATCATTCACAGGAGATCTATATTCTTTAAATGTATGGTAACAAATTACACTTACATGGAGCACTGTCATCCTCACTGGTAGAGATCGATATTTCGCCATTAGACACTTGCCTTAGGGTTCTTCAGTACCAAATTGGATACCATTATAGAAAATACACACAATTCATTCATGAATTACGATTTAAATGTCACGGAATAAGTTTGATCTACTCCTAAACATATAACCCCTTCAATTCAAACTGAATTTATCTATTTAATTATGAAAACAGGACAGTTATACAAAAAACTTTGTATGATATTTGTGTTAAAAGTAAGTTTTATTTTTTCGTGAAATTACTCAACTCGTTACGCTCGTTTCGCAAACTTTTTCACTCACAAAATAAAACCTTACTTTTAACACTCATATCACAAATAGCTATTAATCAGATTGAAAACAGATAGGGTAAGTTGGATTGTTTAAGTTGAACAAGAACCCCCACGGTAGTTTTTTTGCAAAACAAAGCTTCGACATCTATTATTTTTGTGCCGCGGTTTCATCTAGTTGCCTTGCAGTGAAAGCTGCAGAGAAACATTTTCCGATTTCTCATTCGGCGGTATATGTCGAAGCTTGGATTCGCAACAGATCGCCGATAGAACCGTTGCTTATCTTTATCCAAGAATTTTCTGTCAATCCCATTGATGATGATTTTGTGAGAGGATATTGTAGCATATTCACCCAACAGACAATTTTGTGAAAATGAAAGAAGTTTTATCAACATGGGTATTTTATGCTGACAATGTGACGTTTTCCTCAGCTTTAATAAAAAAAAAAACATTGTAATACTGAATATTCCGTTCAAAAAAAATGCAGCAGTGATAATCAAATCACAAAAGATTAGTTTCCACTGAATATCATAGAAAACAAGTTTCCGTATGAGAAACAAAATATTTTTTCGATTTTTCTCGGAAAAGTTCTGTTATGGGAAAAGTGGTTCATATAAAAGTTAGTAATTTTCTACAACTTTGGTATTTGGCTTATTTTAGTAGAAGTTTTTTCAATAGAAATCATAGAAACCATTTTAAATCCTTAAAAATCACCCCATTACATACTCCTACTTACCTTGGATCGACGTTAATTAATTTTCTTGTAACAACCACACCATTTTCTTTATTTTTCAACTATTTTATGCTAAAAAAGAGGGGTTATTGAGACTGTGGTAGAGAGGGCAAGACGTATCAGCGAACTAGAAGGGGTACAAGATGAAATATGTCATCTGAAGAATGCGTTTCTGGGTAACGGACATAACAAGGTCGAAATTAACCGAGCCTTACGATCCATACAGAAACACTTCAAACGATGTGACGGACCGAATTGGAAGGATCCTCGAAAAACATGGAGTCAGAGCCATTTTCAAGCCCACTAGAACGATAGAGATTAGTCTCAGGTCAGCTGAAGATCCCTGGGATTAATCACGCTTGATTGAACCACAGTAGAAAGCTTTAATCAACAATTCGACTACTGGAAGCAGGGGTTTTTTTACCGATCGCGAAAGAATAGCACCTAAAGGCTGACTTTCGACCAAATGAGGTCAGATGTCAATCTTGCTGAAGTGCCCATCAGTGAGTTGAGGACCGCTCGGAGAGCGGGGGTGGATGGAGTGGGGTAGTAGGTTCTCCTCGCTAAATAGCTGTAGGGGGAAGCTTCTACTTCAGGGCACTCAACCCGGGAGGGGACATGGGGGGGAGAAAGCTTTACTGTGGTTGAACATCAAAGAAGTTGCCGCTATGGCCAAACAGATAAGCAGATAGTTGCAGACACGCTCTCTCAGAAGACATCCATGACATTGCCATAGTAAAAATCAACCAGTAAGTCCACTCCCTCTACTTTCATTCATACATTCACAAAGTTCTCGGTGACCTCGAAAGCCAATTTCGTTCTTTTACCATAGGCGTGCGCTCATATAAAAACTAAATTTAAGGTTATTATAGAATATTTTGTGGTAAATTACTTACAATAATAACAACAGCGAATAAACTAAACATAATATCAATTCCCAACCGTTTATAATAACTAATCCGATGTCCGTGGTAACGTCAAATCCTTCGATACTACAGCACTGAACGCGTTGGATGAGAATCTCATCCTAATAGCGGTTAAAGGTCCCCGGCAGCTCGGGCGGATCACGTGGTAAGATGTCTTACTGGTTGTATTATTGTACTGTGACATTGCCTTCGAATTCACGCAAGGTCTTGATGAAACCAGAGAGTCCTACCCGAAGCTTTTCAAAGAGGTTATAGAAATACATAAACTAAAAAAATAATTCCAACCGTAAGGAAGAAAGGTTGAACATCAACATGATATGGATGACAACAAAGATTCTCCCAATAATTGAAGAAGGGTCGGACAAATCAGGTGCAAGAGCAGTCAGCCTTGTGACACCTACTCCCATTATGAGTAAAACGCACCAAGACCGTTTTTAGTTTGCGCCTCGCAGCACGGTAGATCCTTTCCACCAGTGCCGCGTCGCGTTTGATGATGTCTGCCGCAGTAGCAGACGAATCGTCGGGTATAAAAACCTGCAGACCACGGCTGAAAACCCGAAAATATCGGACAATTTGTTATGCACCGGGTGTGTGTCTACGCACCATGATATTTTTATGCTGTTATTATTTTTTTTTTTCAAAAATGATTTGCATTAGTCCAATAGTGTATAATTACAGTGTTTAAATAATATTTTGATCAGTAAGGAGTACTCTACTCCTCATCAGACCTCTGAAACTGCTTGCGAAGTAATTTCGCCTAAAAATTGTACCAAATGATGAGTTTTTTTTAAATATCCGGATAATTGGCTATCCGGATGATTGGAGTTCTACTATACATACTAACTCTATTCCATTATGTTTTTTCCCATAAAAGTAAGGAAAAATGATGCAGAATATTATATTTTATATCCGAAGAAATATCTGGCGATGACCAGGAAAAATCTACGCCTTACAGTAGGATTTCTGACTAGCCACTGTCAACTAAGGAAACACCTCCATAATATGGGGCTAGTGGACACACCTCTATGCAGGATGTGTGAACAGGAAGATGAGACTGTCAGGCATGTCCTGTGCGAATGCCCGGAGTTATCGTCAATAAGCCGATATAAAGGAAATGTCTCCCAGCGACCTGTCCACCTTCCTGGAAAGGTCAGGATGGACGATGACCTAGGAGGACAACTCCTCGGGAGGATGTACAATGAGTCACATGTGGCCTGAGTGCGTGGGTTTACACTCACCCTCCCTACTCTACAGATACAGATTATATTTTATAAAATAGCTAAAATATCGTGGTAGGGGAATTCTTTTTAAATTTTTCCCTTTAATACCGTTTGCAACAAAGAAGGGTACAATTTTCATGACGTAAATCAATAACGTCATGAATAATTCAACCTTATATCAACATCTAACAGAAGATTAGGTACTATATCTATTTTCTCTACAATCAACAATAATTATTTAGATAACCCTAATCTTTGATGAAATTAATATCAATATTCCATCTAGTATTCCATAACTCTTATGTTCATATATTTTTCCAGAAGTTGGTATCGAAAAAAGAAGTGAATACTAATTCCTAACAACCCTTGAATGAAGTCAGGCGTTGCTGAGACATATATCACTGAAGATGTCTGCCGCAGTAGCAGACAAAACTTTTGGTACCATTCAACCACGGCCTACCAGCCCGGATTTTGTTCTGTCTAACCTCAAATGATTACTAATTATACTTGCCAGGATATGTACTAGTGCCGTGAGTACAATGAACTCAGTTTGTCTTCATTTCAAATGTACATAATTCGAACACTGGTATTTGGACAAACTCACATATATAAAACGTTCGGTTAGAACCGGACAAAATTGAACCCAGAACCAATCTATAGATGGATTAGAAGTTGCAGGGATCCTTGAATCCACTCAAATATGTTCTACGTTTAAATAAATGATCAAGCATGAACGGTTATCCACTGAACTATTAGGTTGGTTAAGTTTTCGAAAAAAAAATACCGCGCGTATTACAACAATAATCGATAACATTATGAAAATACTCAACAATTGCGTCGAACCAGTCACAATCACTTAAAACAAAACACTGACTAGACAAAGTCGTAGCATGCCGAGCGAAATTCAAATAGGCTACTTAAACTTAATCAAAGTGATTTCGACAATAAAGGGAAGTACTTCAATTAATTGATTACCTTTTTAAATCCGAAAATGTTGTCCATTTCTGGTTAGTGATTCGTGTTGGATGTCATTCAGATGGAGTGGCACGGAACGATCGCAGATCGCGACCTAGGACACCTCCTCCGTAGCCATGGGGATATCGATTTTGCCTTCGTGATTCTGAGATAACACTTTATCTCGTATTCTGGTCGGGGGTTAATTGGTGTGCTATCAACTTTCATGCAAAAGTGATGTTTTTCAGATGGTATTCTTTAAAAAACTGTAAATAATTTCCGTGGCAACGTTAGTTCAAAACGACTTGTCAACTTGTTTCGTATGTTACAACATTAGTTGTCAGTATTTTAATTTAAGTTCGTTAACTTCAAGTCTGACAAATGGTTAGATTAACGGAAATGCATAAAATAACAGTTTTACAAATGATTGGTTAAGGAGATAAAATCCTAACACAACAGGAAGTAGCTCACCCTATTTCATGATACATTTCGTAATTTACCGCCCATATCTCAAGGAACAATAAGGCAAATAGAGAAGTAGTTTCGCGAGTTTGATCATGTGGGGCAGATGAAAAGGCAGCTGCCAATGCAATAAGTGATGAACTAAAATTAGTTATGATGCTTGAGTTTGAGGAAAACCCACATACATCGAGAAGACAGGCATCCACTACATTCAATGTTAGCCATAAACATAACATATTAAAAGAAAATAAAATGCACGAGCTCATGGAAGGCGATTTTGATAGAAGAACTTATTTTTGTGAGCAAATGATGGACATATTGGATAACAATATCATCCAATTAGAAGACGTTATGTTTTCTGAGGAGTGTAGGTATTTTGTCTCTTAACGGTCATGCTAATCGGCAAAATTGCTGCTACTGGTCAACGAAAAATCTTCACTGGATGAGGGAAGAATACACGCAATACCTTCAAAAGGTTAATATTTGGACAGGGATTGTGGAAAACTATATCATTGGTCCCTTTTTCATTGAGGGCAACTTGAATGGGGATAATTATTCGGCACCACTTCAAAATGATGTCATTCCAAGTTTAGCAAATGTTGATTCAGGAAACCCTCAACTTCCAGTGAATACGATATGGTTTCAGCAGGATGAAGCACCACCATATCACCAAATTAATATCCGGCAATACCTCGATACAACCTTTCATCCTGTTGAATCACTACCAAGAAGATACAACGAAGCCTCAGATCGGATAAAGACAAAAGGGATCCACTATCAGCAGCAGGGGTTTATCGCATACCGTGCACTTGTGGGAAGGTATACATCGGAACCACCAAAAGATCCATGAGAACAAGGCTGAAGGAGCATTAAAGAAACTGCAGACCAGGCCAAACGGACAAGTCAGCTGTGGCAGTGAAGGAAACCACAGGATTCTGTATACACGGAATGCATTGCCCCCGACCAGGGATACCATAGCCGACTGGTACGGAGGCAATAGAAATTCCCAAACACACGGATAATTTCATCAGAAAAGAAGAAGCTCAAACGAATATGGAATCTCATTCTGAAAAGTTCAATAATGACAAACAGCATGACGGCAGGTAGAAAAAGGTCAACGAACGTTATTGACAATTTACCAAATCCAGTCCGGTATTATTACACCAGACTACATACATCAACATAAACACGCTTTACGTAATTTACCTAAGCCACACCACACTACCTGTGGAATCAACATAAATACGCGTTACGCAGCCGTAATATCCAGTCATATCGGAGATATTATCTCTGAGGAAGCTAGCCAGTCGCGCCAGCGAAACGTCAGAAAGAAATTCCATAAATCTAGGTTCGATGTTATCTTTCGTGGTGGCCGTGGTAGTGGACAGACGTGCCGATAACGTCCGTTCACAAAGAAGGTACGCGGGTGCCACGTGCTGTCGCGAGACTTCTATTTATGTTGTGATTTTCTATTGTGCGAAGTCATCAATATGTTAATGTTTATGTGAAAGTTTACACAAAAATGTGAAGTGAGGGCACCCCTTTATTCACGCCGGTATCCAAACTGGGGTGGTTCGGATAACCACGTAAAGGGGGCCATATGTATGTGAATTTAAAAAAACCCGAAGGTCTCCGGAAGAGGAGGTATATGTGGAAAAAATCAAAAGGTCTTCCGAACAGAAGGCGACAATAAAAAAGTTGAATTGTTTTCACCATAAAAAGTTCGACAAAAAAGGGGCAGCATTCCTTTGAGCAAGACCGCTGCCCTCACCACGACGAAGGTGCCGTCATCTTTGATAGAAGGAGCCTGGACAAAGGTGCCCGAGTGGGAAGCAATGTCCAACAGAATTAGAGAGAGAGAAGCTTATCAGTATAGCAGATATATTATAGAAAATTAGAATTGCCTCGACCGCGTAGTAACGGCAACATCCATCAACTTTCTAAAAAATAGTTAAATCAAAGCAATCTAATTATATTAGTATTTTCCAATATTCTAATCGCAGAAGAAAAATTACTATGAATATAGTAACCAAGTTAGTGGGAGTCATCATGAGATGATTGAGATATCTTCAGATATTTAAAATTCAAATTTCACCACGAAACTTATTGAGAAATCACTCTTTAGCAGTAGTTTATCCCTTGGTTTCGACGGGTGAGCTTAATCATCTATCAACAGCAATCATTCATCATATTTCTAAAACTCTGAGCTAAATTTGAACTCAAACGAGTTTACAGCAATTACTAAAAAAATGTCGCCAACAGCTTAGTACGAGAACGGTAGAAATAAAATTAGTTCCGTAAAGTTATATGCCCTCAGGGACCAATTTGCATTATTCAACAATAAAAATACGTGATTTGTATCCTGGTGAAATTAAAAGTGTTGGATCCCAGTTGTATTCTCATCGTTCAATGGGATGGTGACGTTTGTGTGAATTTTTTTAGTACCCAAGTAGATACATGTAATAGTATAGTGAATATATAATAAGCAACTCTAAAGCTATTATTCTTTCTTCAATAGTTTAACTAAAACAATTAATTTTACTAGGACTTCTCAGCGAATTATCATAAAAATATTACCGCCTGGCTATTTTTCTAAGCAACGAGGGTAACTTTGCCGTCTGAATTTTTTCTGCACGCAATTGAGATGATTTTTTCTGATAAAAATCTGGTTCTCCTGAATTCTCGTAGTAATACAGTCCGGAGGACCCATTTTGTACAGACTTGAGTTCCTTTTAGTTATGAAGATGTCATATTTTGAGTAAAGTATATTATTATTATGCCATGATTTAACGACCTCAAATCCTTAAGACATCTGAACTGTATGTACCACACTTATAATGTGACTTTGAAACAAGAAACAAAAAATAAACTACTCAAAATGAATATAGAGACACATCCCTAAAACCTAATAAGTAAAAAAATATGTATTATTTCATGATAAAAACTTCTGGTGTGTACTCTATACTAATTCTTATCATGTTCCATTTGGTTGTTGTTTACTTTTTTTACTTCTTTTTGTACTTTTAGCTACAAAATCATTAATATGAAAAATTCTGTATTGTAATGAATCTGAAGCCGGCCCTGACCGATATCTCAGTCAGCAAACGTATGACTCATCGCGAAACATCGCGAAAGGTGTAGATGAGTCCCGAAATCCCTAGCGAGATCCGGAGCGATCGTTGCCGATATATCTAGAGAGCGAATCGAGCGGTTAACAAACAGTGAAGATAAATTAAGCGTTAGTTGCTAAGTGTTGTATATAAATTAGTTGTGAAAGTGGAATATTGTTAAAAATAAATTTGTTTAAGACAGTTAATTCTCCAATTCGTTACAATTGGTGATCAGAAGTGTATTTTTAAAATAAATTTGTGAACGCTTGGTGGACAATCTTTGTATTACAGTGAAATTGACTATAAAACTTCGCACTTTCGCGCAGATAGACTGGTGATTCATTGTGTTTCGCGAAGTGGACAGTACCGGACGACGGAAACATAAACTGATAGACCTTTCTCGCGAAAAATAGACTTGTGAAAATAAATAAGTGTTTTGGACTTCATTAAATAAGTGGACATATTCAGTTTTGAGTAGAATAGACAGTAAGAGATAAAATTTGTTCAAGAAAAGTGCGCCTAGTGGACTTGAAAGTCGCCAAATTGAAGCAAGAATTGGAAGAGAGAGAACAGAACAGAAGCATATGTCCTGCCCAACCAGAAAGACTTTACCGTCGCTGACATCCTGGTAAAGGAATGGATATGTCGATTCGGTGTTCCATTGGAGCTGCATTCGGACCAGGGCAGAAATTTTGAGCCCAACCTGTTCCGAGAAATATGTAAACTGTTGGATATTCGAAAGACCAGAACCACAGCCTTACATCCACAGTCCGATGGAATGGTGGAACGAATAAATAAGACCATAAACCGCTACTTGTCCAAGGTAGTCTCTGACCATCAAAGAGACTGGGACCAATACCTCCACCTGTTCCCGCTGGCTTATCGTTCGGCAGTGCACGAGTCAACCGGTCAAACCCCTGCCAGTATTATAATGGGACGAAAGCTGCGGCTTCCTTGCGACCTGAAATTTGGGACGCCGCCAGAACAAGACACTGCGGGGAAAGACTATGTTGTTACGTTTCAATTTAGCACTAGATCAATACTGCTCCTATGTGACCTTTCAAAACACTACGTTACCTTCTAAGATCTTTATTCAAAGGATATTAACAATGTAATTCAGTTACAAGTTGATTTTATTCATTTAACATCATAGTAATGGGAATCTTCCGTTCCATAGAAAACCATACCTGAAATGTACAAGAATAAATGTATGCTCCCTGACTAACTGCTTTGACCAGTACTTACGC